TGGCTGGGGAATTCTGGGAGTTGAAGTCCACCCATCTTAAAGTGGCCAAGTTTGAAAAACATTGCTTTAGATGGTCCCCAACACTTGGGGAGAGGGGAGGAGGAGTTCATCACTTTATGGAAGAGTACCCAGTAGATCTTGGCTCCTTGCTGGATCTTGCTGAATTAGTGAGCCAGTTTGATCAGCGGAGCTCCTCCGTGCTCTTGGTAGAAAGTTGGGGCGGGGTGGGTAGGTTCTCCGGTGCTTATAAGCCAAGCCACTAAGAGCTCCGTAGGCCAAAGTAATGATCCTAGAATTGGAAAGTAGCCTGTTTTGCCACAGGGGAGGAAACAGTCAGAACTTCCAGCAGATCCTCCCTCTTGCCCTGATCCCAGTGAAGTGGCTTCCCCAGCAGATGACCAACTTGCTCCTCCTCTAGCTCTCTTTCTTCCAACACTCCTCTGCACCAAGCTTTCCTAGTCTACGCGGAAGACGGGGTCTTCATTACCAGAACCGGGCACATGGCCATATTTATCGCCTGCCTGAGGAGGACGGACCAGGATTTCTGGTGGAAAGCAAAACCCGCCCTCTGGCTATGGGGGCATTTCCCTCTTGGCCCCGGAACTCAACAGCGGGGCTCCCCTTCCTCACTGAGGTGCAAGGGAGAGAAGCATCTGGCTGCGATGCCTGGAGGTGGGGAGGGGCGGTTAAGGAAAACCGTCCCCCCCGTTCTTGGCCTCCATTCCCCATCTCTGCTTGAAGACTCAGCAGCCTCGGGTACCAAAGGGGGCTAGGTCTCAGGAAGGCTGTGGTTTCGGAACTGCACCCGGAGCCTCCGAGGAAGCACTGAACCCGCTTGCAATAGGGGCTTTTGACCAGGGGTGAGCTGGTGGTCCTCGGAACCTCCAGCCGCCGTCTTGGGAGAGGGGAGCAAAAGGGGCCCCATCAAGGAGGAACAACTGGATTGCCTTGGCCTGCTGGTGCCAAAGCCGTAACGCCTCTTCCAGGCAAGAGGTGCCTTGCGCGACGGCCTGCCTGCAGATCGTGAGAGCTGATTTCTGCGATGCAGGACTGAGGCTGCGAAGGGCCCCCGGGGTCCCATGGGCATCTCTTCCCCAGCCAAACATTTTTAAAGCATTGCTGCTTGGCATTGATGATGTGGCCGTTGGGGGCCTCCACCTGAGACAATGTGCTTTTCCGCAATCAGCAGCGTTTCCCCTGCCTAGGAAATACGTGCAAGTTACGGTGTGGGAGAACGAAATCCCCGGCCTTGAGTCCAGGCGCGGAGTGGGTCCTGCGTGCGTGTGCGTGTGCAGAGAATTTGCAGCCTTTAAACTGAGTTTTTAAAATTCCAGGAGGCGGCTGGGGAAGGGCGTCACGTGTGGGATGAAGGTGGCTGCTGCTCCTCTAGAGAGGGCGCTCAGGAGAGCTGTTATGTAGGACATTTCAGAATCTGGGCCATCTTTTGATGCGCAAGGAATAGGTCAGAACTGATGGGAGAACAGCCCGAGTCTCCAACGAGCAAGAAGGGCTGCCACTAAAGGAGCGGCCTCTGATGCCGGAATCTGAGGTCAATGAGGGGAGATGGGGCGCTGCGGTGAGGGCTGCCGGCTGGTTTGTTTGCTTGTTAATCGGTTGCAGCCTGATTAAGAGCCTGTTGGCTCTCCAGTTAGCAGCGACAGCGTGGCCTTTGCAGATGGGATTTCTGCATGGGGGCCGTCTTCTGTGGGCCTGTCCAAAGCCTCAGCAATTCCTTCCTAGCAAGACAGCAAGCAGCTAGGAAGTGGCCCTGGACCCTGTAAATTTTGCAGAATGCCTTTAATTATCAGATTATTATTCTCATTCCTGTCAAAAGAATCAGAGCTCTTGCCGATGCTGTGTGTCCAGAAGAGCTGCTCCCTGTTGCCAGATAAGCTCCCAGAGGAAGTGGGGGGATTGCCCCGGGCGGTTGACCAGTCTTGAAAACTCTCCTAATGCCCTGTGCCCCACGTTCCTGGGCACTGGGACTCAGCCGCACAAGTCACTGAGTCTCAGAATCCGGAATCAGAAGATAGAGAGGCAGAGAAGTGCTCCTGAAAATTAGAGGTTGACTTTCAGATTCTTGACTGACTGATACATTATATTTATAAGGCCACTGACTCTAGGTGGCCAACAACAATAAAACCAGAATAGGAAAAACAGTGAGTTGAGGAATGGTTCTTGCCTACACCAACCTTCTGCACACACCCACCCCAGGGAGCCCTGGTGGGGAAGAGCTGGGTCTTCAGACTTGTTTGAAGAACAGCAGGATAAAGGCCGTTCAAGTCCCTTGGGGAATGCTGTTCCAGATTAGAACTTGGTGGTGGCTTATATTTTTGAAAGTACTTCCAAAATCATGTCAGATTTTGAAGGCCGACAGGCACCATTACTTTTGAAAGGCATTGATCTGTGCAGACATTTTGGGGTGTCATTTTGGAAGGCACACTTGCAGCGGAAGAGTGTGCTCCCCAGTTGCTGTGAAGAAAGTTCTGCTTGTTTCCCTTAATCCCTTCCTACATGTGTCCATTGCAGTGGTAGATCTCTTGCAGGAACTCACAGACATTGACACCCTCCATGAAAGTGAGGAAGGAGCTGAGGTCCTCATAGATGCCTTGGTAAGTAGCACCTGGGGCCATCCTTGGCCACAAGGGCGTGGTGCTTTTCAGCACTGCCATGTGCAAAGGGGTGGGGTGGGGTGGGAGTGTAACCATGAAAAGCAAATCGAGATCTTTTGTGGGGGCAGAGCATCTCTTTGGAAGAAGAGAGGAGTCCACTGCACTAGCGTTCTCACATCGTAGTGTTCAGGGCTTGATGTTTAGTTGTGTTACCTTCCAGAGGTTAACGATGGTTGCCCTGAACGGGCTACTCTGCCTGCTCGACCAGAGGATAGAAGAGCAGAAGTTGAAACATGCTGAATCTCTTGCACATGGAAGCAATAAACCCAGACAAAACCTTTTTTCTGGGCCCCTTCTTCAAGGTTATTGACAATAGCAGACTTTTGAGTGTCTTTTATTGTTCACTTTGAACAAGAGGGGTTGTTTCTGACTGCCGAATGGCGCTTTCTTCTTTTGTGGAAGTAATTACTCTCTCCCCATCTGAGCCAAGGCTGCTAGGATAATTCATGCCCCACCAAGGGTCCCCGTACCAGGATCAGATGGGAAGAATGCTCTGGCTCGCCGAGCAGAATCGTCTGTGAATGGATCATCTTTGCTAGCCTTCCGGAGGGGTAGATTTTCCTTTTACAATTCAGAAAGCTCAGTTGGACTAATTATTCTTTAATGCTTTTTCAAATGACTCCTGTCCCAGCTTGTTTTCTAGGCAGACCGTCGTGCATCTCACTTCATGGCAGCTGCACAGATTCTGCTCCAGTGTTTCTCAACCTCGCCAACTTGAAGGCGTGTGGGGTTCATCTCCCAGAATCCCCCAGCTGGCTG